GAGAAGGAGCCTTTCAGAAAAGGAGGGTGATCTTGGTTTCCAACTTGGAAGAACGCCTTCAAAGTCAATGAACGTAGAACTACAGAAACAATAGCATTGGTGTATGTTTTCCCATTTGTATCCTCAACAAGATTAAATTTTTTAAAAGATGACAAATTGAAGGTATACACATGAGACTGAGTATTATGAAAAATGTAAAGGAAGAAAAATCAATTGGGCTATGACAAAAAATGATTGCACCACGTTGTTGGTGATTCTGTTGAAAGTTATTCATTTTCTCTCCACACCTGAGTTACTTGCTTCCTTGAATTCACACACAGTAATGTTGGATATATCGTCTGAGTATTTTACACAGGGTGGCTTATACTGTAGATAAGTATAGACAAATCAGAGACCCTACCTTTGCACTTTGCCCTTGGGCCAGACTGATAGATTGCTACCCGTGGTTGCTGAAGGCAGTAAGCGGTAGCAATTAAGAGTAGGAGCTCTTTGCCAGAAGCCATTTGAGATACAACCGTTGGTGACTATTTGTCTGGAAAAGGAAATGGCAGGCAGGTTTAATTACATACATGAACTATCAACTCCTTTGCCATGAGACCAGAAGAAATAGATGATGGCCAGTTCCCCCTGCTGAATGTTTTGATCTGGAATCTAAGTGATCGATCATGATCCAAAGAACAAAATTGTGGAATAGAACTTCAAATTCTTATTGGAAACCAGATTTACAGAATACATTAAAGCTGGAGAAATCCCCATCTCTATTGCCTAGAAACCACTTTTAAACCTTAAACTTTGAACTTAAATTCATCTTTAAACTAACCAACCATTTTTAACTCAATCAAAAATAATGCCTGCTGCGGATAACAGTAACTCTACACACAGGAAGTGGAGAGTCTCAGTGAATGGTGATGAAACGTGGGCAGAGACTGACGGTGGCACAGTAGGAAGCATGAACCTATAGTTAATAAACTCTACATCGAAAAATGGCTGAATGTGTGTATATTTTGTTGTATATATTTTCACAACAATACGCTCGGCCTGCCTCAGCTTATGAAATCCTGGTTCTACCACACACTGAGATCTCAGGCTAGTGCCTTATATTTGTGCCATTACTGAGGATTAAATGAAACCATCCACGTAAAGAGCTTAGAGCAGTACATGCTCTGGTCTAGCCAGATTTGTAAGGTAGAATTGGAGTCATGACAGTGAGGGTCTTTCCATAAACCTTACCATACCCTTTCTCTTCTTCGACTTCTTAAGATCATTTTATTGGCGGCTCTTATAACAATCCATACATCACATTTACTCTTCTTAATGTTGCTGAGTTGAAGTGGAAAATGAGGCTTCTACACAAGATACAGGAACGGTATTGTGAATTGCCGCTGGGTCGGCCTTCTGACTTACAGCAACCACATGGGTTACCGACTAGAGCTGCTCTGTAAGGCAGCAGTTATAATCCTTATGGATGCAGTTCACCAGACCTTGCTTCTGCAGAGCAGATGGGTGGGTCTGAACTGCCAACTTCCAGCTTAGAAGCAGACTGCAATCCCCTTGTGCCACCCAGGCTTTTTAAATACAGGAACACACTCTAGTCCAGGCGGACTCTGCCCTTCTACGGACAGAGCCTCGGCTTCAGGGAGCCCAGCTGGGCGCGGCCAACTTCCTAAAAGTGAACAGCATGGCATGCTTGCAAAGGATAGATACTTCCCCTTTCCAAACCCAGCTTGGAACACAACAGAACACACCATTAGAAAGCACCAGCTCTAAGAAATTTGCTTTGAATACTTAACAACAGCTTTAAAAGGCCCTGGCAAGTTCCCCTGTCAGCGGTGGTTTGTTTGGATTGCATAGGAGCTGGCCGGTTAAACACCCTAAAGGGTTTCTCAACAAGAGTGGGCTCTTTGAAGATAGATTTGCATACCCGTAAACAGGCGTGTTTCTATAGAGACAGTAACATTTTCAGCTGTGTATTAGGCTGTGAGTAAAGAGATCTCCTTTGACCAGGAGTGTTCAGGTTGACCCTCTCAGTTCTAGCAATTAGTCATCCCAGAATAAGTAGGCGAAGCATGCCACCTTACCCCTCAGCACCGACTTGAGGTTCAGCTTGGCCTGGCGATGCAGGTCTTCCACGCATGGGGGTCTGGTAGTGGGGAGGAAAACGTTCTCTTGCTGGTGCCAGGGGGCAGTGTAATGGACTGTCCATCTGCTCTCCTCGTCTAGGTTGGAAACAGCTGTGGAAAGAGAGGAGAAATGCAGGGGTCAAACCGAGCTGCCTTGGCTCCAAATGTATTAACCTCGGGTTGGTGTTTGAGTGGAACCTATCCATCAGAAAGAGCCAGCAAACGCCCCCAAAGTCAACTCCTTGCCCTCCAGTCACTCCGACGCACAACGCCCCTGCAGGGCTGGGGAGACCTGCACCTGTGGGTTTCCAAGACGACGCTTTATGGAAAAGGCAAGCCTCATCTTTCTGTTGCAGAGTAAACAGTGGCTTCGAACCTCTGGCTTGGTGGTGAGCCACCCAGGGTGTAAACCAGTTCTTCATCAACAACAACAAAATCCCTCATGGCTATTGAGTCGATTCTAAGGTCCAGCGACCCTAAAGGATGGGGTGGATCTGTCCCCTGTGGGTTTCCAAGACTGTAACTCTTTACAGGAGCAGAAAGACGCCTCTTTCCCCGGCAAAGCGGGGTGGGGGGTGGGGGGCAGAAACTCACTACCACTGAGTCCATGCAGACTCACAGGGACCCTACTGGGCAGTGCAGAACGACCCAGCGGGGTTTCTAAGACTGACTCTTGACAAAGACCACTGTCAAGCCTTTCTTCTGCAGAGCAGCTACTGCCCTCAACCGCCCAGCTGTCTGTAGGGTGTCGGTCAGGGGCTTTAACCAGCGCCCCACCGGGGCTCCTGGCACAGGGAAAAGGGAGCAAATTCTGAATGAGGGGAAGTCGCACCAGCTGAAACTATTAGGCCGGCCCTCCAGGCAATGTTTCCATTGAATTGTTTGTTCAGATACCTGTCTCCCAGAATTCCAGGGCCTCTCTCCACTCCAGCGTTACAGAATGACTGTCAGAATTGACAGGGCCAATAGTTCTTACTTGAGTGCCCCACAACCCGTCAGAGCGCCAGCGGACGTTAAGATTATCCGGACAGAAAACAAGTGTCTCACTTAAAAGTTGGGACAAAACCTGTCTCTCTCAAGCAGTGGTTCTCAACCTTTGGGTCGCGACCCCTTTGGGGGTCAAAGAACACTTTCACAGGGATCACCCGATTCATAGCAACAACAAAATTACAGTTATGAAGTATCAACAAAAATAATTCTATGGTTTGGGGTGGGTGGGTGGAGTGGTCACCACAACATGAGGAACTGTATGAAAGGGTCACGGCATTAGGAAGGCTGAGAACCACCGCTCTAAAGGGTGTTACTTAGTAACATTACTGCTGTAAAACCACAATTAGCTTTTTAACAAATTCAGTGAGAACATCCCATCGAATATATTTAAGCCGCCTATCTAGTCAAAATGGGAATCAATTTGTGCTATAAAACTTTTGTTTCTTGTCTTCATGAAATATCATTCTTTATATTGCAATCAAGAACAAGAACAAAGGCACCCCAACAGAGCATTCCCATTCCATTGACTTTTCCCAACAATGCCCATTTTGATTGAATTTCTCCCAGCACAAAACTGAACATACTATCGAAGGGGAAAGTGAGAATAATGTTCTTCTCCTTCTAACTGCTTTCTTTTAATGCCTATAGAGCGTGCAACCATTCCCCAGACAACAGAATCTAAGGTGGACCCCCCAAGGGAGCTCCAAAATGAGGAGCAAAACCATAAATAAATACCATTCATACATGGTCACTGTCCTGGAGACGGAAGCGGGGCTGGAGGCATACAAGAGCAAGTCCTGAGCATATAGGGTAACTTGGAGAGACAAGTCTAAGAAGTAGAGGAAGCCTGGCATGAGGAACACTGGGAGGCAGGAGGCAGTTTTTCCCCAACTCCGACCTATGACATTAACAGTGGGCAAAACATTTCAGAAGGTAACATGTGCCTGGAAAGGAAACAACAACAAAAAAAAAAACAACAAAACACCAAGAGGCTAAACTCACCACACCAAGTCACTGCTGACTCATGATGACCCTACAGGACAGGGCAGAACTGCCCCTGTGGATTTTCAAGACCGTAACTCTTTACTGGAGTAGAAAACCTTGTCTTACTCCAAAGGAGTGGCTGGTGGTTTTGAACAGATGACCTTGCTGCTAGCAGCCCAACTCGAAAAATCAGATTTTCCAAGTATAGTGAGCCGGCATTCCCACATGACTGTACTTATTGCAGCACATTAAAAAGTAATTGAATGCACCCATAGCACAGCTATGGAGGCTACTGTAAGGATCAAAGGAAGGACGGTGAAAACAGTCCACGGCTCCTGACATAACCCATGCAAAGCCTGGTAGTGACAGGGGCAGTGAGAACTGAAGAGGGACTTCGCTTTCCCCACCCCCCAGACATCCTGAGCCACAGGTTAAGCCCCGAGGCCAGAAATCATCTTTTCTGCAGCTTTCAGCCTAGCCCGTCCTCTGAAGTGCAGGCTCCAAAAAAGTATGCCTTCAGTATTCACACATTCTCCATACCTGGCTCAATGGGGAAATAAATACTCAGAACTACGTGTCCTTTTAGGAGAGAAATGTCCCACTGTAAGCTTTGTGCCTATCAGGCACCTAGTAAGGCCCCCTGAGCACATGCTCCGCTCTGTGAATGTCACCACTCATCTCCAAGCACAACACCAACAGACACTTGACTCAGAGCACCCAACTGACACAGCGTTCCTCTCAAGGCTCACTAGGGTTAACCGCATGATGCGTGCTGACGTCCATCTGCTTTTCAGATTCCATGCCCAGGCTGCGGAGCGAGGAAATACTGAGAATGGAAACGATCCCTATCTGCCAAGGGCAAATCACATCCAAGTAACTGGAGCCTCCAATCGCACCATCGCCCGACTGTGCAGCCACCAACTGCATCCCCTGAAAGGGCACTTGTCTCTTCCCTGAGTCACCACCGCCCCCTTCCAGGGCTGATTCGAATCAGTCCATTCAGAGATGAGCCCCCAGTGCTGGTCTTTGTTGCTCCTCCACCAATGCCCCCACTCCTCCCACAGGTATCCAGCTTTGAGTCCCTGGCCCCCCAAAGTAAGATCAAATACAAGGAAAGAAAACAAAACCCCGAATGTTCAAAATTTCCAGTTTTAAAGGAAGAGAGAAGTACTTGGCTAGAACAAATTTAGACCAATAGTAAATCCACGAGGAAGCCACCTCACCCAACACCCCTTCCTGAAGAAGCACGTAAAACCACAGGGCCAGAGGATACACTTCAGCCTCCAGCTAGCGTCTGACCAGTGCACTTGATGTGGACTGGGGCTGGGCCACTTCCGTGAAATCAATTTGTTTCTTGATATAAAGTTCTTATACATTAAAAAAACACATCAAAGGAAACAAGGTAAATAGAAAGTGTTTTTCCCTTCCTCTTCAAAGGGGCTTTTCTTCATTTTTTTTGAGAACCACAAAAGAAGCGAACGCCCTTAAAAATCCCAACCCAAAGGACCCGCGAGGATCACATCAGACTGCCCAGAAGTTAGGTCCAAAGCGCGCTCGGTTGACTGAAGGCGGCGTTTCAACCACCGCGACTGATGACATCGGTTCCCTCACGGGTTCCCCCACTCAAAGCAGCGCGCAGCACGTTCAGACACCCGCGGCAGAGAGACGGAACGACTTACTTTTCTTCTGGAAAAGTTTAATGAAAGACTTGATCTTTGCATTAATGAAGACCACCATTTCCAGGATGGCTACGTGAGTTTAGAGGCGTCAATCCCAGGAGGCAGGTGGGGAAGCGGCTGGCGGGAGCTACCTCCCCTCCCGTCTCGTCTCCCTGGGCATCTGCGAGAGCCAGCTGAAGAAGGTGGAGGCTGAGTTTATTGTCGGGCGTCGGGCGGTTACAAACCATTAACCATCCTTGAACCTGAAAAGCTCCCAGTGAAACCTAATCTCAGGGCTGCGCGCAGCCACTTCGAACGTGCACAGGAAGAAAGAGAAAGCCAATCGCGGCTCCCAGGTACACGTCAGGCTTCCTGCCTTGGTGCCCAGTCACTCAGATCAGAAGTGCGTCCTCTTGGGGACCACGAGAAGAGCGCAGATTTTCCGCCACAGAAGTGGGGGTGGGGGTGAGGGGGCAAATGTGTTCCCCATTTTCACTGGGCCCCGATGAAAGCGCAGATCTCTTTATTGGAGCTCACAAGTCTGCAAGCAATTGCATGCTGATTCTTGGACTCCGCAGTTCATTCAGAATATAAAGGATTTGAATTGATTTGGGGGTGGGGTGGGGGAGCGGTGAGAGAAGAGCCAAACTATTGTTTCTGACCACGCCCCCAGACGCCGCCTCCCAGACCCCAGAACTGGTGGGGAGCAGTCTAACTTTACAACCGAATCTTCCCGAGCGGCCAACGTGTTCGCGTTTTGCTGCAAAGCAGGATGCTGGTCTCCCCCCCTCCGCCCGTCCGTCAGGGCAGAGAACCAGCCTGGTAATAGCGCCGCGGTGTGATCTCATTTGCATTTCACAGCCCCCTCTCGCAGAGAGGTGGAGCTGGAGAAAGAGAACTTTCCCCAATGTAAAGGAGAAATTGGATAAACTGTCCTCATTATTTTCATCTCCATCACACATTTAAGTATCACCTGAAGTGCCTCCTTTTGTAAATGCCACGTCTCCCCCGCACACACTGCGCCCTGCAGGGCAGGCAGCACAAAGCATTGAAGAGCCCTCCTGCCTTGGCTTCCTGGGCTAGTTTGCAATTACCACTGAGAAAACATAGGACGGATGAGGGAGTCCCAAACGGAGCTCCCAGCAAAGCAAAGGGACAGGGATGGGGAGGACATGCCTGCAGACCAGGACACACGGAGGAGAAACAAAAGGCAAGGCTCTCACCTCCATCTCACCCCAACTCCCCTTCGCGACAAGGGCCAACCTCTTAGTGCATACAGCTTTCCACCAGACTTGTAACGGAATGGAAAAATGCAATAATTCACTAATTTGAAACATTTCGTTTATAACAAAAGCTCTTAGTCAAAGAATAAAATCTATATACAGGGTTCCCTCCCTCCAGGGGAAGCTTGGGAATGATTCCTCCTGAGGGGGGAACATATTTTTTAAACTTGCGTAACTTACTTTTTATTGAACAACCACAGTAAAAAGCATGCAGACAGAACAAGTTGTCAAAAGCCTAAGTGTGCAGAGAAGCCAACAATTAGGGTAACAGAATATATTTGTTGTGAGTAGACAACACTCCAATGAGGCAGCAGTATCCCCAAACTGCCAAGGCAGGTGCCCGGCAGAGGGGGTAGTAAGACAGGCTACAAATGAGTCGGTGCCGACTCATAGCGACCCAACAGCACAGGGTAGAACTGCTCCTGCGAATTCCGAGGCTGAGCCTGTTTCCAGGAGTGAAAGGTCTTTCTCCAATGGAGCAGCTGGTGGCTTTGATCTGCCGACCTTGCATTTTGCAGCCCAACCCATAACCACTCTGCCGCTGGGGCTGCTGGGAATCCTGCAGGTGACTAATTCTCCAAAGGAGCCCCAGCACCCAAGGGAGACAGACCTCCTCAAACCTGCTTAACAAGCCTCTTGTTTGACATGAGGGTGACCCCGGCTCCTTAATGGCTCAAGAACACTTCAGGCACCCCTACTCCAGGGCCCCAGGAATCTGGCTTCCAGGAGAATCACAAGAATCTCTCCGCAGAGACAGCACACAAACGTTGCCTGTTGCCACGGATGCTATCACCCCTTTCAAATCCATCTTCATTTCTCCTATACATCGCTTTGTTACAAAGGCGTTAACACCGACAGGTGGCAAATGAAAAATGACTAAGCAGAAAGGTTATACGCCAAACCAAACTCACTGCCATCGAGTCGGTGCCGACTCACAGCGACCCCCCAGCACAGGGCAGAATGGCCCCACTGCATTTCCAAGACTGCCACTGTACAGGGGTAGAAAACCTCATCTTCCTCCCCTGGAGCAGCTGGTAGTCCCAAACTCCCTGACCTTGGGGTTAGCAGCGCCACCCATATCCCAGGACACCAACAGGGCTCCCTGCAGGTTAGAGAGCAGCCTTAAATTAGGGTGCCTGATGAGCTTACCCCCAGAAAACAAAGGTATAGGCAAGAGTGACCCAGCCGTGCCCAAGACTGGCCTCCTGACCTCATTCCATTCCACGCACTGCCTTTGATGGACACTCACAACCACGTTGCAGACAAGAGTAGAACTGCCCCTGTGAGTTTTCCAAGGGGCAGAAAGCCTCATCCTTCCTCCGTGGGGCGGCTTGGTGGGGTATGAGTAACCCTCTGTGCTGCCAGGCTCCTTCCTCATTTCCTGCCAGGCTGGCAGACCTGTGGGCAGCAGTCTTCGTCCTCACAACCTGCCCGTCTTTGAGGGTACGTGTGAGCGCATGCTTCTGATTGAAGACAGAAAGTGCCCCCCCAGGAACCCAAGCCCCTCCGCAGCACACAGCCCGCCGTGTGGAACAAGGACGTCCACAGGAGATACACGAGCGGACAAAGAGGTAGGACCCCTGCCCCGTGGAGCTGACATCATGGGAGGTCAACACGGAGCACGGAACACATTGCAGGGTGGTTTCTCCGCAGCCTGACAGTGGTGCCTTCCTTATGAACCCGTCAGAGTCAAAGTGGCAAGAAAACAAAGAAGTGATGCCCAGTAATGTACAAAGAGAAAATCTTGAGAATTTCCAGAACCAAAATAAATAACTTAGCAAACCACACCAAATAGCACATGCAAGGTAAAACAGCACTGCTATATGCTCGCTGACACAGCTCCAAGCCATGGCGACTCAACGCTGAGATGGGGGAAGGAGCCTGGGGCACCTCGAGGCTGATGGGGTGCGGTGTTGCTGCCGCTGAAGGATCACTGTAAGCACGGACTGCATGCCAGTATCTCTTCTTGACCTTTTTCATAACAGGGGCTTCCTCTCAGAGAAGGCAGGTGCTAATGGAGGTCTTTCAGTCAAAGCAAAGCACCCTAATGTAAACTTTTGAAAAGTACGGTATACGCTGTGTACATTTTAAAAACCCGCCGATGTGTTGATTCCAGCGCATTGAGACCATCCAGGGTTTCAAAGGCTGCAAATCTTTATGGGAAGCCAATAGCCTCACTTCTCCTGCGGAGCAATGGTGGGCTTAAACCACTGACCTTGAGGTTAGCAGTTCGATGCTTAGCTGACAGCATCACCAGCGCTCCTTGGTACGTATATTAAACTTTAAAAAAAGAAGGGAGAACTCAAACTCACTGCCATCGAGTTGATGCCACTCACTGTGACCCTATGATACAGGATCAAACTCTTTACGTGAGTAGAAAGCCCCATCTTTCTTCCAAAGTGTGGCTGCTGGCTTTGAACTGCTGGCCTTTCCGTTCGCAGCCCAACATGGAGGGGGTGAAAGAAACAATTGAGCAGGATGAAAGGGGTTCGGATGGGTGTGGAGGTAAGGATAAAGTAATAAACAGGAGACAGACCTTCCCAGTCAACGGAGCTCCCTAGAAAAGTATGACCCAAGAGAAGTTAAAGGAGAGGAAGAATAATAATACTCATAAAGGAGATGAAGATATCAAACCAAAAACTGATGCAGTGAATCCCACTGGCTCTAATTTTCAAAAGCTGGGATCTCATTTAAAATGTCAGGTGAGCCATCACGCAGTGAGAGATGTTTCCCCTCCACTGTCAAAAGAGAAATTCTCTTCCCCTTTTAATAAAGTGAACCGCACCAAGGGTCACCTCCCTGGGTGGCACACAAGGCTGGCTAACCCCTCTATGACCAGAGGGACTGGAGGTTACGGGCGCCCCAGAGAGGCATCTGAGAACAAAGTTCTGGCAATTGACTTCTGAAAGACAGTCAGCCAATGAAAACCCTATGGCCCACGTCTGGCACACATGGGATCACCTAACATTGGAATCAGCGTGGATCAACTCACTAATTTATTTGTTGTTTTGTTATTTTAATACCAAGAGGCCTGTAAGTCAGTTCGTACTGTAAGATAGAGCAGAAATGTGCTCCGTGGTTGTTCGACGGCTGGAATTTACACACAGAGGATAAAAAAGTCTGGATAACATTGCACAGAATGGGAATTCCAGAATACTTATTTGTGCCCATGCAGAACCTGTATATAGGCCGAGAGGCACTCATTTGAACAAAAGTGTTCTATACAGTTTAAAATCTGGAATGATATGCATCAAGGTCGTATCTTTTTACCATACTGATTCAATCTTTATGCTGAGCATATGTATTAGTCTGGGTACTTTGGAGAAACAAATCCACAGCAACTCATATATAAGAGAGAGTTTTATGCAAAGAAAACGTGCATCACGAAAACATCCCAACCCAATGCTGCCCAAGCCCACAAGTCCAACATTAACCCATACCCAACACCAGTCCACAAAGTCCTTCACCTCACAAAACAGAGGCAATAATGCCGACTGCAGGAGGAAAGCTGAGTCAGTGAACGTGTAAGCATCTCAGCACTGGCAGGGGTCTCCACATGGCTGCTCCAGCACCCAGGGCTGCATCGGGATAGGTTCATGCGGCTTCTCCTTGGGGATGTCTTGTAGGAAATCCATCTTGCAAGCTGAAGCAGGGAACTGCTAAGGCAGCTGCACCCGATGCAACCATCACAAAACAAGAGACCCGAGAACTAGAAAGGCGAGGCTTCACCACCCATTTATCCCTCCGCCTTTCAACCAGCACCACATGTGATTATCGGCCAGGCTGGCACAATTAACTAACTCAGCATATTTTTAAAAAAAGAAAGAA